TCCTTCCTTCCTTCCTTCCTTCCTTCCTTCCTTCCTTCCTTCCTTCCCAAATAGCAATAGCTCAGACTTATATACCACTTTACAGTACTTTACAGCCCTTTTTAAATGGTTTACAGTCAGCCTATGGCCCCCAATAACCTGGGTCCTTGTTTTACTGACCTTGGAAGGATGGAAGGCTGAGTCAACCTTGAGCCTTGATCGAACTCCTGGCAGTGGGCAGAGTTTACCTGCAATCCTGCATTCTCACCATTGAGCCACCACTTCTCAATGGGGAAAGTTGGATTTACTTAATAGACGCCCGGTTCGCTTAGGAACGGCAAAGGTTCACTTAGCAACATGGCAAAAAAAAAAGAGTCAGAAAACCAGGTGCAACTCGTTTAACGCCTATCTTACTTAGTGGTAATTCTGGCCTGGTCTCAGTTGTGTTTGTAAGTTGAGGACTATCTGTTTAGGTGAGGACTTTGCATTGCACTGAGCTGGGAGTATAACTGAGAGGATCAAAAAAGACACCTGAGTAAATTAATAATGTTGGTCTGACAAATCTTACAGGAGGACACCTGGAGGACGAAAGACAAGATAATTGAAAATGGTTTGCCGAATGCAGATTGAACATTCAACTGTTGCTTGAAACTCACACAGAATTCTTCCCCAAGCCCCCAAACCTTTAACCTTAGACTGTCTACTATTGACCTCACCCCTTTCCTAAGAGGTCTGTAGGGGGCGTGCATAAGTGCACCAACCTGCCTACCGTCCCTGTCTTATAGTTTATTTTTATTTTTCTGATATGTTTTTCTGTGTCTGAACTCTCTTACTCATGGCACCTTCTTTCTACCGCTACGAGATGGGTTAGGAGATCACCATCTTTTACTTTTCTGCATCTTGTGCAGAGGTGGATTCATAAACTGTACAGATGCAGAGAGATAACTCCACAAGACGTCCATAACAAAGAACATTTATTGGTTCATCAGGTATCCTCATAACTCACGTTTGTGACGAAGTTCTTTTTTGATGACCAATCCTTTGTATGTCTGCCTTGTAGTGAAAGATGGTTATCTCCTAACCCATCTCGTAGCAGTAGAGAAGCTGCTATCAGTTCATGAGTCCAGGCAAGAATATGGAGGGAAGCCTCCCCCAACCCCTCGAGGGTCAATTTAGTGACCAATCAGGATTACAGATGTGGCTACATGACACGAACTACATTTCCCAGGATACCTTTAACTACATTTACCAGGATGCATTCCCTTAAGGGGACAGCTCATAATTCCTAAGTAACTATCCAATTCCTATAGACTGGCTGGGACGGCACATATGCATCCGTTTCATGTATTCATAACTATGTTTATACTTATACCTGTTATCTTACAATCGCTTGACAAACAAACAAACAAATAAATAAGTTAAATCAATCAATCAATCAATCTGAAACTCAGGTGCCCTTAAATCCACGTCTCATTTTATCTGTTCTCTTTGCACTTTTAAGGCACATGTGTCCTTCAAACCAAGCCTGGCCCAGCAACGGAAGTGCTCCAATTGCACCACTACAGCTGTGGAGGGCAATCTTGTGGTGACCTATGATGTCAACAGGGATAAAAATGCCGGAGAGCTGGAGGTACTTTGCTAAAGGTCTTGGAATGGGAGAGGATCCAGGGAGATCCGCCACAGGGATAGGCCAAGAGATGCAGGATCTACGGGAGAGGGCCCATAATCCGCGTGACAAGTAACTCGTGTTATTTTAAGTGCCCTTCCCCTGCTACCGTTCTGAGAAATTTTTTTTTCAAGAAGTCATTCACAGGGAGGGAAGGAAGGAAGGAAGGAAGACAAGAGAGGGAAAACAGGAGGAAGGGAAAGGAGAAAGGGAGAGAGGGAGAGAGGGAAGGAAGGAAGGGAGAGAAGGTGACGAGGGAAGAATGGAGGGAGGATGGGAGAGAGGGAGAGAAGGAAGGAAGGAGGAAAGAAAGGAAGGAAGGCGAGAGAGGGAAAACAGAAGGAGTAGAAAGGGAAAGGAGAAAGGGAAGGAGAGAGAGAGGGAAGGAAGGAAGCAGGGAAGAGGAGGGAGGGACAAATGGAGGGAGGGAGGGGGAGAGAGAGAGTGAG